CCGAGAGCGTCTTAAAATGCGGAGAATGCGGCAATAGCACAGCGAAGGAATTGGGGGCAGGCACATCGCTCCGTGGATAGTCAAACGCGTGGAACTGGGCGCGGGTGTGATAGCGCGCGCGCGTGCACGTGTGATTGCGCGTGCACGTGTGATTGCGCGTGCACGTGTGATTGCGCGTGCACGTGTGATTGCGCGTGCACGTGTGATTGCGCGTGCACGTGTGATTGCGCGTGCACGTGTGATTGCGCGTGCACGTGTGATTGCGCGTGCACGTGTGATTGCGCGTGCACGTGTGATTGCGCGTGCACGTGTGATTGCGCGTGCACGTGTGATTGCGCGTGCACGTGTGATTGCGCGTGCACGTGTGATTGCGCGTGCACGTGTGATTGCGCGTGCACGTGTGATTGCGCGTGCACGTGTGATTGCGCGTGCACGTGTGATTGCGCGTGCACGTGTGATTGCGCGTGCACGTGTGATTGCGCGTGCACGTGTGATTGCGCGTGCACGTGTGATTGCGCGTGCACGTGTGATAGCGCGCGCGCTGTCACACGTGCACCGCTCGGCGTCGACTGCGGGACCCGCACGGACGGAGCGCTGCGCCCCTCACTCTTCTTTCTCCTCTCCTCGTCTCTCTCGCACTGCACCGCGGCTCACGGCAGATTTAAGGTTCGTGTCGTCGTGGCTCGTGAGAGCGAAAGCCTCGGAGGGCGCAACTCACAAAACAAACACAAAGAGACAACACCGTATAGCCTCCTTCAGAGGGTTGGGGCAAGTGCTGTCTCACTGAGCACCCATATGAAGGCCAATACGGAGCATAAGGAGGGTAGTTGGGCAAGCACTACGCCCGCCCGCCTTTGTCTCCCCAGTGCCACACACCAGAACTGGCTGATTGAACCTCAGGGAGGCCCAGGAATGGTTTAGACATTCGGCACTGATGTTGGTTGTGAGCGGAAATCGAACTCGGGTCGCACTATTCCAATCGCAGTGCGCTAACCACTGTGCTACAGCTCCCCACACTCACATGTACACAACAAAGATCCCCCGTATAGCCTTAACAGACTGTTGGGGCAAGTGCTGTTAACGAGCACCTTTGAAGGTCAGCACGGCACACGAGGGGGTGGGTGGCCAGCACCACGCCCGACCGCCTTTGTCTCTCCAGTGCAAATGTTTACACCCCGCACCAGGTACTATTTTTTTAGGCTGCGTCGGCCTAGAAGAGGCCCAGCTCCGGCTTAGATAATAGCCACTGGTGGTGACCGTGAGCGGAAATCGAACTCGGGTCGCCGAGTTTGTAGCGCAGCGCGCTAACCGCTGCGTCACCGCTCCCACTAGTACACACACGCGCTCACAAACCCTGCACTTGCATTGTTCGCTGAGATCACATGTTGTGTCGCAACGGAAACGGGAGAGGTTCCTTGAGAGCGAGTGTCCCCTTGGGGTCAACTCAGCTCGGTGGCGGTCAAGGTGACTGCAGCTTGCTCGCTGCGTGCTGCAGGCATCTCGACTGGCTGGCTGACTACAGGAGGCGGAGAAACGAGCCTGTTGGCGATGTTGAAAACAAGCAGCATAACTAGCGTTGCTATGACACGAGATAACGTAATATTCATACGCGTGTCTACTACAATTGATACACTCTTTGATTAGCTGATCATTTGCAGCTCTTTGTTATTCCACTGCTGGGTAAAAGCCCTGCAAAGCTGTGTCGGTCAGGGGGGTTATTTGACCATACTTCACCGCGCTGGTCATTGCAGGTTGGTGAAGTGGAGGGGGGGGGGGCTGGTTTAAAATATCGTGAGGTCAGCCGCGACCGGCCAGGATTGGAAGTCACGTCGCTGGGGTCACAACCACTGCACCACCGCTCCGCCAGACGATTGTAAGTGCTGTACAATATTGATTACACGGGTGTGTTACGATTGTAGCGGTGTCGGTGGTGATGGATACTTACACAGTACTAGGGCACAGTCACAATTAGTCTCGCAGGTGATGGGGTTAAATAGCCCCGAGGACACGTGTGCGCCTTGGCGCCTCTGTTAAATGCCAGCCGTACCCAAATATAAACTCTCCCCGTTCGCTCTGAACATTGCCCTTCTCCACCGGTCAAACGGCCATTGGATATCCCTCCCGTGTGTGTTCCACGCGTACTGGGAGCATCTTCAGGAACTCAATTCGGTTCAGCTCAGTTTCCGAAGAAGGTCCCAGCACGGTGAGTGAAACGTCAGACATCATGCCAAGCAATACGCGCGGTACAAACCGAAAAAAACCCCTCCAAATCGGTGGAGCTGTACGGCGCGGCCGCGTGGGATGCACAAGGAGATAATGGTGCGGCACAGTGGCCCTTTGCACGATGAGAGGAGGAAGATGGGGAAACAGATCGAATCAAAATATACACCAGGCTGAGGTTTTGGGGGAAATGGCCGTTCTTAAGAGTACGCGTGGAAGGGGAGGGAAGAGAGATCGACTGAGATTATATTTATCCGGCCAACTTCCTCTACTATAATGACGATTGCCTCTGATCTGAAGGGTCATTTGGCCCGTACGTCATTCTAGTATATCCTGTTGCTGTTCTAATTTCTACGGCAGACGGAAGCAAGCAGTGATTTTAAAAACAAATCCTCATTATCTGAGCTCGTGCGCCACCCACCAACTCCGCTCCATTGCTGGGTCAAACTCGCTGGCGGAAACACAGAGAGGGCCACAGTGGACTCACACGAACATCCATCCCCATGGCCCCTGGCGGGGTGAGGTGGGCACTGACGCTCGCGTCGCCAACTCCTTGAAGCGGGAAGTCGTCAAACTCAACCTGAAAATGCCCCCCGAGTGTCACGAGAAACACCTCCCCTACATGTGACCAAGAATGTCACGAAACAATTTACCCGGCATTACCACACACGTGACCTGGCATTGCCACACACGTGACCTGGCATTACTACACACGGTACTGGCATTACCACACACATGACCTGGCATTACCAAACACGGAACTGGCATTATCACACACAGAACTGGCATTACCACACACGTGACCTGGCATTACCACACACGGTGCTGGCATTACCACACACGGTACTGGCATTACCACACATGGTACCGGCGTTACCACACACGTGACCTGGCATTACCACACACGGTGCTGGCATTACCACACACGTGACCTGGCATTACCACACACGGTGCTGGCATTACCACACACGGTGCTGGCATTACCACACACGGTACTGGCTTTACCACACACGGTACTGGCATTACCACACACGTGACCTGGCATTACCACAAACGGTACTGACATTACCACAAACGGTGCTGGCATTACCACACACGGTGCTGGCATTACCACACACGTGACCTGGCATTACCACACACGGTACTGACATTACCACACACGGTGCTGACATTACCACACACGGTACTGGCATTACCACACACGTGACCTGGCATTACCACACACGGTGCTGACATTACCACACACGGTGCTGACATTACCACACACGGTGCTGGCATTACCACACACGGTACTGGCATTACCACACACGTGACCTAGCATTACCACACACGGTACTGGCATTACCACACACGTGACCTGGCATTACCACACACGGTGCTGGCATTACCATACACGGTGCTGGCATTACCATACACGGTGCTGGCATTACCACACACGGTACTGGCATTACCACACACGTGACCTGGCATTACCACACACGGTGCTGGCATTACCACACACGGTGCCGGATTATCCTAGGAGCAAAAGCCCCGCGATAAATGCTTTCAAGCTATCAATTCCGGTTTAGTGATTCTGCACTTGCTCTATTACTATAGTACAAAACTGCCTTCAACTCTTATGAACGACTGGGTGTTTAAGGTTAACGATTTGTCGTATTATCTGGCTGTATAGCAAATGAAAAATACAATTACTTTACTGTGTAAGTAACATTTTTGTGTATTAATATGTATATGTTATTTATTTAGGGCCCCGTTATAACATATGCGACAGGCCCCGCACTCGCTTAATCCGGCACTGACTACACACCAAGGCCGTAATTATCATTTCTATTGGGGGGGGGACATCCCTTCTAGATTTGAAGTTTTCGTGACTGCAAGGATCCATACTCTTTGGTTCTTTCGGTAAAGTCACGTAGGTGAAATTTTTTAAATAAAAAATAAAAAACAGAAATAAATAAATTACGACGTTTCAATTGCAACACAAGAAATCATCATCAGGTGTGACAAACAATATTAAAATATGTTCAAAATGTCCCCCCCCCCATAATATATATTTATATAAACAATATAAAAAAATGCTAAACCTTGGCCACAATATCTGAACTTGTCTTCATATAACAATGCATAGATTTCTAATTAATTATATGATTGTGGTTATGGTTGTACTTTATAAATCCCTAAACTCTGTCATTATATACAATGAAACAAAAAATGTAAAAAAGAAAAAACAGATCAATGTAATACAATACACTATTTGAAATTGTCGTAAATAAATAAATAAAAAGCCCATCCCATGTGTTAGTGAATTTTTTTTTATATTTTAGGCAGGAAATGGCAGGAAATTTGTTTTCAAATTTAGATTTTTTTTTTCTGGAGTGGGGGGGGGCCTAGACCCCCTGGAAGATTTGGTCCCCCCCAATGTTGACACCATGGCTACGGCCTTGCTACACACGGTACCCGGCATGACTACACACGGTAGCCGGGTCACAGGACCCGGTCTGTATACGTGCACGGTAACTGCTCTTAAATGGCTGAATCCGCACCCTGTCCTCAAGATCCCAAAGCACGTCACAATACTTTGCGAAAGTCACTACCAAACATTCCTGTTGCCGGGGAAAGCCAGAGGCAAGTCGGTGGCTGTAGCGATAAACATCAACGCACATGTCTCGGCGTGAAACCGCGTTCGCAGTGTCGCACGAGGCACAAACCACCAAACTCAAAGCGGTGGCCACATAACACGGCGCTGAGCTGGCGGCGACACTGGCCCCGGATGGACTCACCAGACGGAGGGCGAGGGAAGTCATCCCCGGTCGGCCGATGATGAAGCGACGCATCGCGAGCCAGAGGATGAGAGAGGCTCCTGCGGTTCGTTCCGATGGCTTGTGACTAAATATAGCGCGACGCCACGGGCCACGGGGTCGTGGTGTGCGAGACGCGGGCGGGAGGCCAGCGGGCCCGATCACACCGGCTCAGCAACGAGGGCCCAACGAGACGCTGCTGTGATTGCGTGCCAGTGTGTGTCGGTGAGTATTTGTGAGTGTGTGGTGAGTATTTGTGAGTGTGTGGTGAGTTTGAGTGTGTTGGTGAGTATTCGTGTGTGTGGTAAGTATCCGTGAGTGTGTCGGTGAGTGTGAGTGTGTGGTGAGTATTCGTGAGTGTGTGGTGAGTATTTGTGAGTGTGTTGGTGAGTATTCGTGAGTGTGTGGTGAGTATTTGTGAGTGTGTTGATGAGTATTTGTGAGTGTGTGGTGAGTATTTGTGTGTGTCGGTGAGTATCCGTGAGTGTGTTGGTGAGTATTTGTGAGTGTGTCGGTGAGTTTGAGTGTGTTGGTGAGTATTCGTGTGTGTGTTGGTGAGTATTTGTGAGTGTGTTGGTGAGTATTTGTGAGTGTGTCGGTGAGTTTGAGAGAGTGTGTCGGTTAGTATTCGTGTGTTGGTGAGTATTTGTGAGTGTGTGGTGAGTATTTGTGAGTGTGTTGATGAGTATTTGTGAGTGTGTGATGAGTATTTGTGTGTGTCGGTGAGTATCCGTGAGTGTGTTGGTGAGTATTTGTGAGTGTGTCGGTGAGTTTGAGTGTGTTGGTGAGTATTCGTGTGTGTGTTGGTGAGTATTTGTGAGTGTGTTGGTGAGTATTTGTGAGTGTGTCGGTGAGTTTGAGAGAGTGTGTCGGTTAGTATTCGTGTGTTGGTGAGTATTTGTGAGTGTGTGGTGAGTATTTGTGAGTGTGTTGATGAGTATTTGTGAGTGTGTGGTGAGTATTTGTGTGTGTCGGTGAGTATCCGTGAGTGTGTTGGTGAGTATTTGTGAGTGTGTCGGTGAGTTTGAGTGTGTTGGTGAGTATTTGTGTGTGTGTTGGTGAGTATTTGTGAGTGTGTTGGTGAGTATTTGTGAGTGTGTCGGTGAGTTTGAGAGAGTGTGTCGGTTAGTATTCGTGTGTTGGTGAGTATTTGTGAGTGTGTGGTGAGTATTTGTGAGTGTGTTGGTGAGTATTCGTGTGTTGGTGAGTATTTGTGAGTGTGTTGGTATTTGTGAGTGTGTTGGTGAGTATTTGTGAGTGTGTTGGTGAGTATTTGTGGGTGTCGGTGAGTATTCGTGTGTCCGTGAGTATTTTTGAGTGTGTGGTGAGTATTTGTGAGTGTGTTGGTGAGTATTCGTGTGTTGGTGAGTATTTGTGAGTGTGTTGGTGAGTATTCGTGAGTGTATGGTGAGTGTGTGTGAGTGTGTTGGTATTTGTGAGTGTGTTGGTGAGTATTTGTGAGCGTGTTGGTGAGTATTTGTGAGTGTTGGTGAGTATTCGTGTGTTGGTGAATATTTGTGAGTGTGTGGTGAGTATTTGTGAGTGTGTTGATGAGTATCCGTGAGTGTGTGGTGAGTATTTGTGAGTGTGTGGTGAGTATCCGTGAGTGTGTGGTGAGTATTTGTGAGTGTGTTGGTGAGTATTCGTGAGTGTGTGGTGAGTATTTGTGAGTGTGTTGGTGAGTATTCGTGAGTGTGTGGTGAGTATTCGTGAGTGTGTGGTGAGTATTTGTGAGTGTGTGGTGAGTATTTGTGAGTGTGTGGTGAGTATTCGTGAGTGTGTGGTGAGTATTCGGTAGTGTGTTGGTGAGTATTTGTGAGTGTGTGGTGAGTATTTGTGAGTGTGTGGTGAGTATTTGTGAGTGTGTTGATGAGTATTTGTGAGTGTGTGGTGAGTATTTGTGAGTGTGTGGTGAGTATTCGTGAGTGTGTGGTGAGTATTCGTGAGTGTGTGGTGAGTATTTGTGAGTGTGTTGGTGAGTATTCGTGAGTGTATTGGTGAGTATTTGTGAGTGTGTTGATGAGTATTTGTGAGTGTGTGGTGAGTATTTGTGAGTGTGTGGTGAGTATTTGTGAGTGTGTGGTGAGTATTCGCGTGTTCGTCTGTGCGCGTGTGTTAGTGTCTGAGTGTTTAGTACCTTCGATACTTCACGTGGCCTCAAAGTGCACCTAGCCTGGCTTAAGCGCCGTGTTGACGTCAGCCACTGAGTGGAAAACTGCGGTTGTTGTTGTTGTCCGCGTGTCACCGGTTACGTGCCCAGCAGCATGTATGTAACTCTGTACATATGTCAGTGCGTGCGTGTCTTCGTGTGCCTATGTTCGCGTATCTGCTCGTGTATGTTTCCCGTTAATAAGTCGGTGTGTCGGTGTATCTCTACGTATGGTGGGTGTGTCTGCGCGATGTCAGTGTGTTGGTGTGTCTTTCTCTCTCTTGCTATGTCCACATGCCTTGCTCCACGTGATCGTCTATCCGCGTCTACGTGCTAGTGCGCAGTGCCTGTGAACACCCCGAGTGTGCCCTATGTGTCCGCGTTAGTACGTGTCCACGCGCCCACGTGTGTGCCGTGTCATCCTGCCCTGCTCCCCGTGCGTTGTGCCAGCCAGCCAGCCAGTCTGTGTGTGTACTCGGGGTGTCTGTCCGTGTGTTCGCCTCGCCGCGTGTATCCCGGGTGTCCGGTGGAACGCAGCCTCTCCCGCCCTTCCCACACACAAGCCACACACTCACCACGCAAGCACTGCGCTCTCCCCCCCCTCTCTCTCTCACGCTCTCCGCACTCACTCCCCACCACCCCTGTAAGAGGGCCTCTGGAATAACGGGACACGGCGGTGGGGGCGGCGCGCCCGCAGCCCCCGTGACTGCGTCCCTGGGCCGAGAGCCAGAGCCGGGCGCAAGGGGGTGGTGCCGGCATGCGAGGAAGGATGATCAATCACAGCCCCTGACGCCCCAATCCACGCCCGCAGCCCCTGTCTCCTCTCGCACGGGGCCACAGAGATCACCGCGGGACGACGTGTCTCCACTGCACAATGAAGATGATGCCGCAGCCTTGTTGTTGTTTTCTCTCTCTGGTTTTTTTTCCACAGCCAATTCTCAACCCTTCCCACCAAGAGAGTGCGCGAAGCTTTGTCCGCGGTCGTGCCGACGGGCGATAGGACTTTTCTCCGCGCTCTGTCGGTCATGGGGGTTTTCGACCATACTTCACCACGCTGGTCAGTTGCGGGTTGGTGAAGGGCGGGGTGGTGCGAGCGGGGGGCGAGGCGAGGCGCAGGACCGATTCCCACAGAGTCGAAGCTGAGTTTCGTATCGCGAACCACCCCCTCTAATAATGCATCAATTATACAGTTCATGATCAATCCACTGCTTGACGAAGGCTGCCTCCACAGGCCGCGTGGTTCGTGGGGTTGTCTGGTCGGGACTTCACCCATGCTGCTCAGTGCGAGTTGGCGACGTGGCCTGGTAGCCGTGGCCCGGAATCGAACTTCGGCGGCCAATTTGACAGCGCTGCGCGCTCAAACACCCCCGCGCCTCCATCGCCCTCCGCTTTCTCAGGGACCAGCGAGCGTGCGGATGGTGAGTGATTACAATCAAGTATCCCTGTTGGTGGACTTCAGCCAAGTGGTGGATACAATTCTGCATTGCTGTGGGAGGGCCCGGTCTTCGTTATAGACGTCACAATACACCACGCAAAGCATCAACACGTGACACAGACACCACATGCATTTTGTAACACATTATAACATACAGGATCAACGAAATACAATGTGAGCACATGCCACAACATCTCACCGACGAGAGCGAAACAGAACACAGCAGATGCGTGGACACCGCGGGTATCCAGCTAGAAAGCGCACACAGTGCTCCTACATAATAATACTCATGCAATCTTGATTTGAAGCTTTCGTGACTGCAGGTTTCCAAAATCTTAAACAAACACAAGATCCAGGGCCGATTCAATACAGTACACAAATCCGTGATTTAATCCCATCTGTGAAGGATGTAATTCCTGACATGCAATATCCTGGAGTCTACAAACTGAGTTGTGGCTGCGGTAGCATTGGGGAAACGAAACGACATGTCTCGGAACGTGTTCGCGAACACAAGGCAGATCTGAAACACGGCAGAACCAATACCTCTGCCGTGGCTGACCATTGTTATAACGCTGTGGGCTCGCATGATATTGTTTTTTCCGAGACCAAGGTACTCTGCAAACCTTCGGGCTACTATCAAATGTTTGTTCATGAAGCATCCAGATATATAAACATAGACATAACTTCAACCGAGAAGATGGATACAAATTTAGCAATCATTGGAAGGATTTTATTAACCAGGTAAAAACTTAACTGCTTTATGGTTGTGTCCATCATATCTGCCGGGCACTGGTCTATTTTTCCGAGTTAATTCCTCCCCCCGCATCCCCAGCGTTCCCAGCCTCCCACTTCCAGCCCCTCCCACTTCCCCCCCCCCCAGCCTCACGTCCCCTCTCCTACCGCCCACGCAGCGCTCCCCCTACCCCACCCCCCTCTCTCTCTCCCCCCTTGCCCCTCCCCCTTCTTGACTATATAAACTCTTGCCACGGCAACTCTCTCTCCCACTTCAGTAAAAAAAAATAGCTGTGCTTTTCCCACCTGATGAAGATTGCTTGTGTTGTAATCGAAACGTCGTGATTTGTTTTATTTTAATTTATTTCTAACTACGTGACTTTACCGAAATAACCAAAGAGGAATAATAATGCAGTGTATTTTCTCAGGAAAGCCTCGCTGAGTCTCGGACTCTTTTCATAAGGTTCCTTATTGATTAGGATATGTGGCCAATCCCGTGAGTGATTGGTGTGTGTGGATACCCAGAGAAAGCCCATAGATACGAGGGGTGGCAGTGCCACGATATATGGTTGGTGTGGGCCCTGGTGTGTAAAGAAACAAACGGGGCGGGCCCTTTGTCTCATGTCCCCCATTCGTCCAAGCCGTGAACCTGGGCCCCTCTCGCCCGTGTAATTGCACCACCTACACGCTCACGCCATCGCTATGGCCACAGTATTGTGGACTTTCACCACCAGCCAACTTTAACGTGGCATGGAGATAATATTTATTCATGTGTTACACACATCCACAGTCTGTTGCTGTATGCAGTACAAAAATAAGATAAATTCCCCAGGTGGTTTCGTGGTCTCCAAGGTCATTCATTGTTTTCTATTTTAAAGCAAATACTGTTGATTTTTTTTTGTTATTAACATTCACCCAAACCATTGCCAAATGGTTCACTTTATTTACGTTCTGCATTAGGGTGCAATTAATATACATTCTTCAGCTAATCAAATAAGGATCATTTTATTTTCTTAAATTAAAAACAAATCATTCATCCGCTGGGCTTCCAAGGTCAATATTTAACATTGCAAATCGTGCAACATTATACTTGCAGTAGTTTAGGAGCTCTTAGTGTGTGGCATTGGTTAGCACTGCACTGCACTCTAAACGCAGTGATCTGATTTAGATTCCCAGCCACAGCTTACATTCGACGCTTGATCCACCAAACATTGTCTCCAACTTCGTGGATTGCAAGCGCCATGGGAATTCCGCATGGTACGTGAATCTGGAGCTTGCCGTGGAGAGGTGGGATATTATTCCGTCAGTGCCACCAACATAGATTACCAACCCAGGTGCTTTGTGTCAATGTCCACTCAACCCCACAAATCCTCCATGAGTAATGGGGCGCTTGTGGAGAGGGTGGAGGGTTCTCGTATGAGGGCAGTGTGTATGTGGCCAGTACGGGTTTTGGCAGCAGACGTCTCACTCCGAATCAGGTTATTGATATTATCTCTTATTTGAGTGTGTAAAACCGTGTGGTAGCTATAACTAAATTATCCACATGGTTACAATCGTGCCCTGTCTTCTATATTGGCAAAATGTGGACCCAGTATGAAACCTACGGACTAGTTTGCCTACAATCCATCCTGGGTTTAGCCAGGATGAAGTTCACATATTCTTGAAAGATATAGATACGGTCTCATCAGTGGACTCGTCCGCTCGGTGAGGTTGCGTTGGTTGGGCATGTAACTTACATGCCCAACTTCAGTTCTTCTGGGTAAAGGGGAAAAAAGAAACAGCACGGACTGTCGTCTACGATAACCTGGAGATGGGCAGACTTGCCGATAACTGGTATTAGCAGTGTCAATATCGGTCTCTGGGGAGAATGCCCATGAGATTTGCTCTTGGAAGGTGGGTAGCCACCTTCCAGCAATAGAGTGTGGGAGAGTGATGCTCACGGCAATGATCAAAGTGCCAGGTTGCTGACCACAGCAAGATGGCACAGTGGGGAGTGCAGGTGGTGCATCTACCAGGCATCTCAGTCAGTTAACGCATAACACGTGGACCTGTCCCGTGGCCTGTCAATGAGCGAGTGAGTGTTTGACAGTTCACGTGGCCTCAAGTGCACCGAATCTGGAAGAAATGTCATAGAGTCATCACTGCCACTTAGTGGCAAATGGCAGTTGTTGTTGTTGTTTTGGCTGTGTATTCGTCTGTATGTATGTGTGTGTATGTAAACGTGTAGCGGTTAGCGCTACTCTACACTACGAACCCGGCAACCCGAGTTCGATTCTCGCTCACGACGAACACCAGTAACGATTATCTGAACCGGTCCTGGGTCTCCTCCCCTAGGTGGACTCAGCCTCAAATGAGTGCCTGGTGCCGTGTGTAACATCGCCACTAGGGAGACAAAGGCGGCCGGGCGTGGTGCTGGCCACCTCCCCCCTCGTGTGCCGTGCCGGCCTTCATAGGTGCTACTCGCTAACAGCACTTGCCCCAATAGTATCTCAAGGCTATACGGGGATCTTTGTTTTTGACAGTGTTTATGCCTCTACATGCGTGTGGGGGTCTCTGTGTGTAGCTATTTCTATCTGTGTGTGTATATCTGTATTTTTGTGTGTCACTGTTTTTGTGAATTTATCGTTGTTAGAGTGACGCTAAATCCCAAATGATACCAATTTCATATGATACAAACAAGCAGATAACTAACTCGTAGGGCATTACAGACTGTGCGTCTGGCACACAGATGTACGATGTTGCGACGTATATATAATCAAGTATCACTTCTCCGTTTGCAATAGTATGCACTTTATAAACGGGTGATGCATTTGCAGAGACTGTGTACGAATAATGTTCTCTGGTGATGCAACTACGGTACATTCATCTACTTTTAAATAACCTAATCTTATAATTATCAATTCCCCTCAATCTCCATGTACTCTTGTCTGCCTCGCATCGGTTTCACGCTCCCCAACTTACACTCCTGGACACAGCTGTCCGCCGTTTGTGGCCTGTTCGTTATTTGAGCTCTTCAGATAAAAAACTTTGTGCGCACTGAACCCCCAACAATTCTTGCATAGGCTACGGGGATTCAACAGCACTGCCATGGGCACACTCATTCCCTGTGACAATTCAAGAAGCCAGCATGGCCAATGATGACAAGACCTTTCGCTCGTCACATTGTTCCTCCTGTTAGACCCCTCAGCTCGTGCAAAGTTGGCACCGAATTACAGGACTGCTCTGACAGTGCAATCACCGTCACGTGGCGTTGGTCTTCCCGTTGGCTGACCTCTGGGCGCGTAATGCCATTGTCCGCCTCGACAATTTGCCCTACTCCATCCTCCACACACGCTCTCCATCTATCGCAACATCCTTATCCTGCATAATAGAGGTTTTTTGGGTTAGATCGCGTAAATATAAACGTGTCATTAAACCCACAACCACCCGACACAGCCAATTAGTAAGGTTTGTCACGTAAACAGAACAGGCTTTCTCTCTCA